GTAGGCCTGGCGACCCTGACACCATCAGTGGCCGCAAATATTCCCCGCAGCCTCTCGGCGAAGGAGTCCGCCGTCTTTGCGCCTTCAGCCCCAGGGAACTCGAGGACTCGAGCTCCCGTCTGGGCGAGGCGCATCCTGACCCCCACCGTTCCAAAGTCGTTAGCGAGGCTGTCCCGGGCCTTTTTAAACACGGCCGCGTAGGACAGCCCGCCGTCCGCCGCCTCCGGGGACACGGTCACCACTACAGCCGCGGTTTTGGGCGGCTGCAGCTTCCGCGGCCTCTTTGTGGAGGCCGTTGCCACCGGTGGCGAAGGCTGGGCCTGGGCTGCTTTTTTGGCAGCCTTTTTGGCCCGCCTTCGGGACTTCTTGGAGCCCCTCGCCTCCTGCCAGCCCTCGTTGGAGGGGGCAGGTGCGGAGGGGCCCGGCAGGGGTGTCGGAGTGGGGAGCGGAGGGAATGCCACTCCGCTCCTCGGCGCCGTTTTAGGCCCCGTCTTGGCCGGCACTTTGGCCGGCGCCTTGGCCGGCGCCTGGGACGGTGCCTTGGCCGGCGCCTGGGCCGGTGCCTTGGCCCCCCTCCTCGGCTTTTGGGGAGCCGATGGAGTCGGGGCAGACGCCGCCGCCGCGTAGGAGACGCGGCCTCCCACTACGGGGAGCGCGGTCGGAGCGGCGGCCTTAGGCCGCTGTGCCGACGCGAGCGGGGGGCGCATAATCGGCGCAGGGGGCAGTCTCGCCTCCAGGCCAGCCAGGCGTCCGTCCAGCATATTCCCAACTGCGATGAGGATTTCTCGCAGTTGGGAGTCAAATGCCCCTGAGTTGGTGGTAGGGGCAGGCTGGGACGCGGACGGGGCTTCCCGCTCGGGGAGGTTCGCCTGGAAGCGGGCGAACTGAGCGCTCAGCTCGTTCACCCGCTCCGTCAGCTTCACGTTGGCCACCTGCAGGCGAGAGACGTCGCCCGCTAGGCCCTCCACGACCTCCGACAAAGCGGAGGAGGAGTCCTTAAGGGCCCTCACAAACGAGCCCTTAAGGTTCACGGATTTGGTGGCCACCTTGTCGATGACGGCCACCGCCGCTTTCGCCCTCTCCTGCACGGACACGGGAGCCTGGGGGGCATTTCCCCCCACCGGCTCCCGAACCTTGAGCAGGAGATCCGCGATCTCCTCCTCCGCTACGGCCTCGCCGTCCACCCGTACGTTCCTGTACGACTCCGCGTTGGAGAACGCGGAGCCTGACGGGATCGCGACCGAGGCCGGTTTGCGCGCCCTCCCTCGGCGGCTGCTTGCCACCTTTGGTGGCATCATTTCGCCGGACGTGTCGGTTTCCACGTCCCCTGAGCGTCCGCGTTTCCGGCTGTCGCTCCGCTCCGCTTCCATGGCCTCCGCGCCATCCGATGAAGCGGCGGATCCGGAACGCAGCCGATCCGATGCTCTTCGGCTCCCAGTGACCAGAGTCAGACTGACCTCTGGGAGCCCCATCGAGATAGGCGTTCCCGACACCATCTCGCCCTCAGTGGACGACCCATCCGCTCCACTGTTCTGCTTTTCCTTCCTTCGCTGTGCTTCCTTTTCCGTTAGGCTTGCCTTTTTCGTTGGTTGCTTGGTTCCGATCGGTTTGGTTGGTTTTTTAGGTTTTTGAAAATCTTCCATAATAATCCCACGAGTGGGGGAGAACTAAAGGTCCACCCGGGCAGAGATCCCCCATTACCCGGGCAAGCGTAAGTTTTTAACCCAACCGAGGGGTCCGCAGGTACCTCGGCTTGGAGTGCGCTCGCGACTGAACTTCCCATCAGCCATGCATCCCCTGGCCACGCACCAGAACACGGGATTCGGGGAATTTTTTAGAGAGGTTATCTTCCTCGCGGTCCGGGCGGTTAAGCCAAGACCCTCGCCCCCGATCAGAGCCGCGAGACTTAACCACAGCGCTCTTCTCGGGATTACGATATGCCGACGGTTGACAAGGAGACTACGTCCCCCTGCCTGCTCGGTGGTAGTGTGAGTACACGCCGAGCCCGTCCTCCTTTCTCCACCGCTGACAGCGGAGAAATTGTGGCCCCTACAGGGCCCCGCCATCCGGTTTTTTACCGAGGTTTCCTCCTCCATGCTCCGAAGAGCGAAGAGCCAGCAGGGCAACCGGCAGACACGCCCACCCTGCTGGACCAGGCCTTGCCCGAGAGCCGATGAACGGCTGCCTCTTCTGCTAGAATATTGGCCGCTGGCGATAATCCTCTCCTCCAAGAGGACAAGGAGGAAACAGTACCATCGCCAGCGTTTCCAGGGTGCACCACGAGGAGGTTTTCTAGCCCAGCACCCCTTAAAACAAATCCTATACCAACTCGTGTGACCAGCGTGGCATAGTAAGCCAAAAAATCCTTTCTAAGGAGAGGCCTATGTTCAGCAGTGGACTGCTAAAGCTTATTTATGATTGATTGATGATGAAATAGCTTGATTTTTGTTGCTTGTGGAGGAACGAGTGTCATGTCCCTCCAACACAAGGATCTTTCGACCAGGCGAGGTGATCATGCCTGGCGGGCCGCGGGCCCAACAGTTAATGCTGGGAAGTTGTATACATATATGCTAATCGGCGAGAGAATTCTTCATATCGCGATACAGGATTAGCAATTCTCATTCAGGAGTTACCCCCTAGTTCGGTGTGTCTTCGTTAGATGGCACTGTAGTACGTTTCTATTTCCTTGTATATGGCAGTCGCCTCATGCTTTACGACACAGACCTGGGTTTTAGTGAGTGTTATAACAGAATAAAACAGAAGTCTAGGCATATTACATCCACATTTCGCAAGTAACAGTTGAAAGACATTGACCTTCATTAAGTAAAGTCTTCGTCTTTTTTTAGGTGTAGGGGGCGAATGAAACGAACAGACGTGTCACCTAATGGTAAGTGGTAAGTGACTGCCGTCGCCTATGGACCACGAGACATAAGTGCGTTACAGGCTTTTGAGTGGCCCTCGTCACGGATTTGTGGGCTCCCGTTACCTCACTCACTCGGTGAAAAAAATGAAAGAATTGCCTTACTACGATTTTCTGTAAGGCCAGGGTAGCATGGATAGCATGACTCTGCTACTTAGTAAAGAGTTTTTATTGCCCACTGGCTATAAGGTAGACCCCCAATTACAATAAATGAATATTTTTTTCAAATTAAACTGGTTTTTAAAACTGGATTTTCCGGCTCTACCAGTGTTATTTATAAATTTCTAGTCTTGATTTATATTCATACAAGAAATGAACTAAACCTAATTTGTATTCATTTAATCCTAACACTAGTGTAAAAACAATTTCCGAGAAAAAATTAATGTTTGCTCTTTTTATTTGTCAAGTAACATTGGTAAGTAAACTGTTTAAAATATACACTTCTATAACAAAGAAACGTAGAAGCCCTTGTAACACGTGCGATTCGTATATGTCATGTTTTAAATAATAATAGTAAATAAGATTAAGTTTCTTTTAATATATCATATCACATCAGATCCGCGGGAGGTCTACAAATACACCACACGTAATTAATGAATTTCCCCTAACGACGAGAAATTTCTGCACCTATAATAAACTGTGTAATGGTTCCCGTTCTAAATAGTCGATGATTGTGATTTATAACTTGACGATAAAATACTATAGTTCATTACGCGGATAGAACGACGTTAACAAAAATTTTAAGATTTCCCATTTATAGGGTTCTGTTCTTATATCTTACACTGTTCATCACTTTTCTGTTATACAATAGTTCGTGTAGTAACGAAACGGCTAAATTAATAAAGCCCAAAGTATAAGAGATGCGCAATTGAAACTGTGTATTGTTGCGCCCATTGAGTTGCGCCATAGAATTACATGGTTCTAGTGTTGAGTCTTTAGTTCATTCACAATCGAGAGCCGTATGGAATCTTGAGGACAGCGCCATCTAGTATCAAGAAATGCACAACGAACACTACGCGTTGAGATTATAATTCATAATTTCGATACTTGCAGCGCTATCTGGTGTCGGGTAACGGAAGATTTTTGATACTGGAAAATTCATTACTTCTGGAGCGCTCCAGGGATTATTCTGGTTCTTTTAGCAGCCCTATAAAGGCGAAGCGTGTTGGCCGTACGGAGTATTGTTTTTAAAAGTCAGTGTTTATGAATACAGTGCTAATTTTGGTTTTAACCGTCTACTTTTATTAGTCAAATTCCCCGCTCGTAACAATATGTTTAATAAGTTCACTGTTGACACCATATCCCGAGAGTTTTGTTTACCTGGTGCAATCCAAACCCCAGTTAAAGGTCAACCTTTAGCGTATAATGATGAAGGTAGGTAGTGTCCTTGCGCTTCGCATGGCTCGTCTTGGCGGGGCACTACCGTGCCCCCAGATAAATTCACATCAACAGCCTTTAATAGTCCACTGCTGGACATAGGCCTCTCCTTAGAAAGGAGGTTTTGGCCTACTATACCACGCTGGCCAGACGGGTTGGTATAGGGGTTTTCCTTCTATTTGCAGTGCTGGTGTCCTTGTCATTGTTTTGCGCCCTTAGTCGGCTCTTACGACACCCAAGGGATGTATTTGGGTAGTGACATTCCGTATTCTTAATCCGTCACTACACGGACTCCAGATAAATTACTGGCGCATTTTTACATCTCGGAGACAAATACATTACATTAAAAGACAATATTTTATAAGCTCATTAGTTTTCTACAATCATTCAGAATATAATAAAAGTGATCTAGAGATCAACTTTATTATATTATAAATATTAACAATAGATTGTTAAAACGCTAATCAAGAAGAATCCATAATCTAGTTAAAATATCCAGCAAGCTACCAGGAAACGGTTAGGAACTATTCAAATTTTTGAGCACACGATAATTTTTATTCAGATCATTTTAAAAGAAAACTGTTAAGCGACGAATAATAACATTAGGCCATTATGATTTAATCGATACTGACAGATGAAGCAATTTTCGATACTTACTTACTCTGTTACTCAATTACGCTCAAGTAAAAAGAAAAACACTTACAAATAAGTAGTTCCTCCAATAACCATGGCACCTCTGGGTCCCGTGATGGTAATAATAGACGGTGCCATCCAATTGCACAGTGCCAGAGTCGCATAGATGATGGCCAGGGACGTGTAGCCATCGCCCGTAAATGAAGGATCATCCTGAGATATGCTATCTAGCACAGTTTTCTGTAAGCAATAAAAAAACATTCGTTTAAAGTAGTGACAATTGGTACAGTGCCTTCGTTGTCTAGATCGAGGGTTTCTAATTAGGTAGGAGGTATCGGAACATTAATCATAACACGTAACTGCGTTAATTAAGCCACTCTTGGTGGAGCAATTAAAAATGCCCTCCAAATTTTAAGAAACCTAATAGGTAAGCATAAAAGGTCCGGAGGGAAGAGAAAGCTGCCCACTTTTATCCTCTTGTGTAATACTTGCTATCAAATCAAATCAAAGTTTATTTGTTATGATTGTAGGTACATTAAATTACAGATGGAATGGTATTAAATGATCTCCGTGTACATTCTGCCTTCAAATTGAGCATGCAAAATTTATAAAATTAGGGTCTATAAAAATTAAATTAAATGTGTAATGTAAAAGTCTAAGTAATAACTACACAAGTAATAGTTGCTCTCTACACATATTTCATGCTGAATCCCTGTGTAGGCACGGAGTAACCTAATTTTGATAAAATAAATCTTTTCACAGAACTCTATTTAGTTTGTCATGGAACTCACTTTCAGATCGCTGATCCAAAGAACCACTTTAAACACACGAGAAACATCATACACTGAAACGTCATGATAATTTACAATTTTTCATTATGTTTAATTTTTTATACATATACCATATCGGTACATTAAAATATGTGCAACATTAGCCTCATCATTATACATCTGTCGAACATTATGGGTTTTCATAATCAATTAAGCATCGACTTAAGTATTATTTAATAGTCTATTCCGGGACAAAAGGTATAAGGGTTCCGGGATAAAAATATTCATTCGGTAGCGCAATATTACCAAGCGCACACACCTCTGTGCGTTTGCTATTCATCATAAAAAGATTAATATACAATCTGATTCTTAAACTTTAGATGGCACGTTCAAATATTTACTTCAGTTAAAACTTATATTCATATCAATGTAACATTTTATCGGTTTGCTACTCAATGCTACTCATAATAACAATCAGTGATAGCTTGACTACTATCGATAGTTTTTAGCCTTAAACTAGTTTCCTTGGCTTAGTAAGCCTTAAACTAGTTTCCCATAATCAAAAGATCATGGACGAGACTGATGCAACTCTCGGGCTTGACATTGTCCAAAACTTTTTTATACTAATTGTATATAACCTTAAATGACAATATCAAGCAACACATTTATTATATGGTGAATCACAACCAGATCAGATCAATTCATTCAGATCGAATCAATTCAATCACAAAAGAATAGCCGCTTTGTTTAAAATATCTCACAATTCATAGGATATGATACCTATTTGATTTTGCCAAAAATGTTGGATAAGCTCTCGAAAACTGAGGGCGTAGAATGGATAGAGATTAAAGAATATCGAATGTTTTAAAATGTCGCGATACAAGTTCATTACCTTACGATTTTAGGAGTACAATGAAGACTTGTGGTCCGTCCGATCGAGTGTGACGCGCTCTACGATAGGTGTTGTTTGTTAAAAACGATAGCATCCTAATTTTTTTAAATAAATTAAGTATAAATAGACTGTTGTGTATCATAACATCATAAACTTGTTCTCAGTGTTAATATTCAACCCCGAAGCAATTAGTTCAAGTAAATGGTGCTTGAAGACAACGAAAATATATAAGTAGGTGGTTCGTGTAATTATATACGTATATAAAAGCATATAAACACGTACACGATTCACACTTGATCGCTTTTCGTCAGTAAAAGCCATACTACAAAATACGAATGTCGCAATTATAAATTACCTTCAACAAATTTTCGATTTTGGAACTCTCCTTAACGTAAATACAATAATGCATATAGATAGATAGACAGAGAGATATAACTCTTTATTTTTGTATACGGTTTTACAGGAAGTATGGTAGGTACATAAAAGTGTCAGATATATAACGTACAAAGGGCGGCCTTATTGTTTAGAACAATTTTTTTAAAGCAACCTTAGGATGGATCAATGGATATTCCGGAGAGACAGTAGTAGTTGACTGTGAAATTAGTTTTTCGGGTTAATTGCTAACGAATATAAAAGAGATAATAACTAGATATATATAATATAACAAATATACACATATACATATTTATATACATAAAAACAAATATAGAAGCAAATATACATACATACATACATAACTACTTAAGTATATGACATATAAAAAAAGAAAACATTCACATTATACCTTAATACGAGTATGTAGCTGTCTTAATTACGATACAAACAATTGTTAAACCATTTTCTTCTGATGTTTATCGGTAATGCATTCCACAGGCGTACAGCTTAAACAGTAAAATAATAGTAAGCTTTGTAGATTTCAGATTCGGATCTTGCCAATGTGACTCTTAATAATATACGCGGCGTGAATGCGATGTTGCTGACAATTGCGCAAAACTATTATAGTTCATTGTATATCGCTGATAACAATAGGCTATAAACTTTGATTATTCTTTATTCTAGTACACTATCTAGTACGAGTACACATACTATCTTGTTTTCTTTAAATCATTGGAAAGCCGGTGTTGTTCCTCCATAATTTTGTAACGGTACTTTGGCCCAGAACGGAACTGGATCCTCCAAGATTTTGGACAGCAAATTTTCCTTAAAAATCTCGCTGCAATCAGAGGTTGTTAAATGACGCCTTTGCGAGCAAGTTGTAATATGCGATAAAAACAAGATATCACGGCACGGTTCCTTTAAGGACTGTTCCTTTACATACGAGTATAAGAGCCTCAAATAGATTTTCTAAACAGCTTATCCTATCTGACTAGTATCTATGAACTCACAAACAATCTGAAAGCGACGCATTTAAAAAACCTTGAAAATACCTATTATCTTAACAGTGGATCTTTCTGACCTAAATCGAATGCAAATAAATCCTTGAATTTATCGAGTTGTCGACAAACAATGATAAATTAACCACTCATGTTGTTGATCGTGGAGTAGCACAAATAAATTAAGCCTGAGCAAATACTTACATTTTGACCTTATGTTTAAGATGACGTTGAAAACAATTGACACTATCAGACAATGAACTGTCCATTTGTTTAATATTCGTTATGTATAGTTTAAAAAAAAAAGCAAGTAGGTAAATAAAACGAGATCACATCACATCAACAGCCTTTGACAATCTACTGCTGGACAAAGGCCCCTACCTAGAAAGGAGGTTTTGGCCCATTATATAGCCTATGACACTGTGATTAAAAAGTTTTCTTTAAATCTTCTAAAATTAAATACCCACAATTAAATTATAAACATTAAACGGTTGCAAAAGTTAACTTTGTTTGTTTAGAACATACCTACTTAGGTTAAAATACTCCTCAGATCCATAACTTGTGCCCAGATGAAATATTTTGAAGCCTTTAAATTATTTAAATTAAAGAGATTAAAATAAAGCAGTGATATACCTGTTCTTTTTCTGCGCGTATTCTTCAGGACTGAATAGTACCAGCTTAAAATATATCTACACAACATAATATACCCAATTCAGAAATAGATTTAAGTTAGTAACTTTGCCAAGTACAACCACCACTACTGTTAAAGAACACGTGACACATCATATTTGCAACAATAGTCGTTTACATAATAACCATTTCGTATTTCCGATGATGATTTTAATTACAATTACGTAATCCAAATATTAAAGGTATATTACGTACATAACTTGGATATTGAAGCCATTAACGGCTTCACAGTTATCGAACTTTCATCCTTACGATCCTTACATACAGTAAAGTAAGTTATGTTATTTAACACTTACACAATTTATTACGAAATGGCTGCAATTGTCAGTACAATTTCATCAGTATATCAGTATATCGTTAACATTTATGAATCGAATCTGTAAATATATTACATTGTATGTACATACTTGTATATATCACTGAACGCCTACATTTTTTTTTCAAAATATAATTTCAGTTCCACTCGTAATAGGCGCATGGCTATTCCCCTGAACCGGTGACTTAGTACTCGTAAGTTACATAAGAAATTTTAAAGATATTAAATTACAGTTAAAAAACAACTCAAAATCATTTAATCTCTTGATTCTTGTAAAAATATTTTATTGTCAGGTGTTCGTGCGCCGTCCGCGTGTTTCGGCTACTCTCGGCTGTCTTCGGAGAAGGCTGCTGTGCAAGGCAACTACGGGGGGCCGCGGGGCGCGGCGCGGTGGTGCCAACCGTCAGCTGTTCCCGAGGGCATTACCTCTGAAGTCCGCAAGCATCGCACGCGCACCATACTTTAATTGTTTTCATTAATATATGTACAAATTTACAGTCCATTGCCTTTAAATTATATACCCGTAGATCAGGGATTTAACATCAGGTTTTGGTGAAAGTAAAGTTATTATTTTATAAAATGTGTTGAAAAGCACTCCCCGCTTTTTTACGATATGATTTTTCTTTTTGGAGTTACAGAAAATTATTTTCGACTTTTTAGTTCGTCTAGTTACAAAAGTAAACTATAATTTTTATTTTTTTAGGAATTACCTTTAATGATGAATTTAAAGGTGACTATTTTCTCATTTAGACTAAAGAAGTAACAAGTAAGTAAGTCACATATGCTTCAGTACACGCCTCGTAGTACGTAGCAAAAGACACTACCGTGTTTTCAGGTATGGAAAAAGCCGTTAATCCTGAAGATCCTGATAAGGACAATCGGCTAAAATCAAATTATTGTATTGTCATCGGTCCTTGATAAGTATGCGAAGATTCTATTTTATTCGACGCTTTGAAGTGTGTTAAAATCACCTTCCAGATTCTATTACATACATAGATACATATCAAGCTAATAAAAACGTGTTAAAAAGGAAATCAATGGAATTAAAGGGATATAAAGCGGCAGTGTTTAAGCATTAGTTCACGCAGGTCAGGGTCGCATACATGCTTCGGGGATTACCTGCATCTGATCCGCAAAGAGCCAACGCCTGAGTGTCAAAACTGCTATGGCCGGGCCTTGGACACGGCTCTGGACACGCT